CAATTTACCCAACAAAGTTTTGTTCCTTGACATTGTCTTAATTGACATTCATACCTCTTATGCAGGAGATCAAAGACTTGAAAGCATCAATTTCAAAATCTTACCTTGATCAACAGGAAGAGTTGCGCCAGTTGTTAGATGCCAAACAGAAGGAACTAGCGGAGGTTAATAGAATATCCGCTGAACAAAAACATGCTATGGAGAATCTTACTGAAAGACTTGGTGCTTCTATGCTGTCATGTACTGAAGCAAATGAAGTCATAAATAGGTGAGACATGCATCATATTTGGTTGGTGATCAGATAATGGGCATTGAAAACCATGCATCGGTGACATGTTTATTCATTCCATTATTGTTTTAGTGCATTGCTTGTTCTATGTAGCCATAATCTACACGTCTGTTCATTTTTGCTGTGTATGTTGTTTTATCCATATTATAGGCTTCTACTTGGCCTTGGCTCACACTGACCGACACCTCAGGGTCTCACAGGATGCGATTGGCATGCTTGTCAATCTAATTTTTGACCTGGCTAGTTCAATCATGTCTAGACGCCCATCCATGTAATTTCATCATCTCGTGTCTTTGAAATGCAAATATTTATAAGTCGGTTGGTTTATTCAAATGAGTGACATAAGATTNTCGTGTCTTTGAAATGCAAATATTTATAAGTCGGTTGGTTTATTCAAATGAGTGATATAAGATTTCACATGACTGTGTACTAAGAGAATGTTGTGAAAGTTTGTGAGTCAAGAATGAAGGTAGGTTTTTAATTTTTTTGGAGACTTCAGTTACTAATAGTACAATGCTTATACTTGATAGCTTATCACATTTTGTTATTTCCTTGAAAACGGAAAAAACTCAAGGTGATGCTTTATTGGTATAATTATAATGTCACGAGTTTCTGGTCAAAATCAGATAAAAAGTAAAGTGATTATAATGCCTTGTTTTCTTCATTTAGCCAGAAAGCATCTATATCTGAACTGAAGGCATTATTAGATGAAGAGCGAGATCAGAGAAGAGATGATCGAGAAAAGGCTGCTGTAGATATGAAAACCTCAATACAGAGAGTTCAGGCTGAGGCTCAGGAGGAACTTAAAAGACTGTCTGATGACGCCTTAAGACGAGAAAAAGAGCAGCAAGAAGTGATTAATAAGCTTCAGGTATCTTAACAAAAAGATTTATAAGTTTCAGGTCTGCAAAAATCTTCCTGTAATTATTTTAGTGTTTTTTGTATATCATAAAGCAGTTACAAACTGAAATATTACTTATTCACAATTTCAGGAATCAGAGAAAGAAAGGTCAACGTTGGTAGAAACTTTGAGATCTAAATTGGTATCATTTGCATGATCCTGTTCTTCTACGAAACAGTGAATCATATCTATGTCTAGTTTATGATTTTTTTGTGGATCTCTGTGGGAACCAGGAAGACACTAGGCAGAAACTGGTTGTCTCAGAAAATAAAGTTCGCCAGCTTGAAGCCCAAATTTGTGAAGAGCAACTAGCTTCTACTAGTAGAAGTAAAGTATGTATGCCTGCTGCTGCCTACTCTCTGTAGGATTTATAAAATAGATGTTGCTATTTTCTGCTGTGGTGCCATGTTTTAAGAAGTTGATGAAAATACTGTATGCATCCACAGAGAATTGAAGAACTTGAGGATGAAACGAAAATATTGAGGAATGAACTGGAGAGAGAAAAGGTAGGAATGGCAATACAATTTTCCTCATTTTCTCCTTGCAATGTTGTTAACCTCGATATGAAGCCATATTAAGAGCTACTCACCCTTGCCTCCTCTCAACCCCCACCCTCTTTTCCTGCTTAAGCAAAAATTAAACCTTAAGCTGAGTTTTTTTCTTGCTGTTGGGTAGCAGGCAGCTCGGGAAGAAGCCTGGGCAAAGGTTTCTGCTCTTGAACTTGAGATAAATGCTGCAATGCGAGATCTTGATTTTGAGAGGCGTAGGTTAAAAGGTGCTAGGGAAAGAATCATGCTCCGGTAAGAATGGAATACACTGTGATATTTGATGAGTTTTTTTTCCCTTTTGCGCTATGGCGGGACTTGTAAAGCCCCACCGTTCAGGCTATTGCTGCATTATATTCTTTATGCTGGTCACCAAATTTGGATCGTTCTCATATTGCTCATTACATCATTGTTATGTGTCCCAACTGTGGGGTATGAACTCAAGTTGTTGCTACTTCTTTCACTATCTGGTTGAACTTCATTTGAAGTTATACCTCTCTTCTAGATGATACCCCAACACATTTGTCATTGTGCTAACCCCCCCCCCCCCCAAAAAAAAAAAAAAACCTAAGTAGTGTGAACCCCGATTGTTCAATAATTCACCTTTTTTTAATCTCCTTTGTGATCTTCTTGCCAAATTCCTGTGCTTCCTCATTGTTAGTATGGTTCTGGAATGACAATAAATTCTTCCAATTTTTTTTTTCTCTTTCCGCTTTCTTTTCTTCTGATGTTTATGGCTTTTCTCTGTTAATTTGGTTATTGAAGTTCTATGTAGCATTCCCAGTTATGATAGAATATCTCAGAATTTTTTTAGTTAATTGTGTCTTCCATATGGCTTTCCAATTGTGAGTTTGATGATTTTAATCGCTTAGTGGTTACTCCTTTTCAGTTTGTTCATGTTTGCTCTAATCAACTGGTGGTTTTTGTGGTACATGGTTGCCAAGCAGGGAAACACAGCTTCGAGCTTTCTACTCAACAACTGAGGAGATTTCACTTTTGTTTGGAAAGCAGCAGGAACAGCTGAAGGCAATGCAAAAGACACTAGAAGATGAGGACAATTATGAGAATACATCGGTTGATATCGATCTCAGTCCTAACAATGGAAATGTAAATGGATCACAACTCAGACCAAAAGAAGGATTAGGGTATCGAATCAACAGTGCTGCTAAGGCAGGCTCCAGTAGTTCGGCCCAGAGGCATGGCAGAAATCAAGTTGAGATATCTAGTGATGAAGCAAGTGTTACAGAGAAGCACACCTGCAATATCAAAAGTCAAGAAGGTGGGCAAGACACCCAGGAAGTAGAAATTACAAGTGTGGACCGCATTAAGGGGGGCTTTGGTTCTGATATTGATGGAGTTGGCACTGCGCCTGTTCTGGAGGGAGACCCTATTGAAACTGAGCGAATTCTTGAGACTGAGAGCCCAGGAATTGGTGGTCTCCAGAATATTGATTTAAACAAGTGCAGTGCGTTAGCTGGGGACACAATGCAGCTAGATGATGAAAACCATGGGGAGGAAGCTGAGCGCCAAAGGATTTGTGGGGAGAGTGCACATCTCTCACAGTCAAATAACCCCCTGGAGATTCAAAACACCATGGAAGATACTGAAGCTGGAGGCACAGTCAGAACGGCCGACCTTTTGGCTTCAGAAGTTGCAGGAAGCTGGGCTTGCAGCACAGCTCCTTCAGTCCATGGAGAGAATGATTCTCCAAAGAGTAGAGACATTGATGAGGAAGGTGCTGCAGCTTTAAATGATTCCAATGGTCTGTTGGCCGAGTCTCAACACGCCCTGTCTTCCTCCGTGGCTGTAGCTGCCAGACGGAACGAGCGTCAAGCGCTGAGTGACATGATCGGGATTGTTGCACCTGATCTGAAGGAGCAATTTGGTGGTGCTGTGGGCAGCGATTGTGATCAAGAGGGATCCGAAAAAGGTTTAGCTTCCAATTCAGATACGGAAGATTGCACCGACAATGAAGATGATAATGGAGTGAATTCTGAAGAGTCTGAGGGCGGGAACCGAGCAAATGAGACTGAACGAGCTGATGACGCAATGGATGAAGATGATGAAGCGACTCAAGAAGATTCTCTTGGATAGCAGGAATTTAAATGGATGCTGCAAGTTGAATCGTTGGCCAAGGTACACCAGTCCTTGGCTGTAAATATTATAGGTCTATTTTGCGTTTTGTATCTAGTCGAAGAATATGGTGCCTACTGACTTGACTTGACTTGTGTCCTTCGATGTTCAGGGCCGGCCTAACCACAACGTGGAAGCAAAGTCTGAATTTTAGGCCCATGTTTAAAGAAGGCCCAACGTTTTTTTAGGTGCACAGTATTCCAAATCAAAAAAATTTAGATCTATGAGATTTTAGGCCTCCAAAAAGTCATATTAAAATTTTAACTCAATTAAAAATAAATTTGAATAGTTTGAGATCATGAGTCTAGCCCATAATATTAAAAATACACCAAAACAAGTTTTTTAGGAAAAAAAAATAAAAGATAAGGTTAAAAAAAAATTACACACTTCTCATTTATAAAAATTCTCTGTCTAAAACACAACTCACTCTCTATTGAACACGAAATCTCTTCTTTTTGTGTTAAGATTTTTTTTTTATTTATATTGTTGAAAAATATATAAAAATATTTTTAATTTTTTATTAAACTTAAAAAATTAAAATTAGTAGACCATGATTCTTTAAAATTAAAATTGATAAATCTTCTTTAAAATCAACTATCACAAAAATTATTGAGTCAGTAATACTATCAACTTAAAAAGATATACTAGTAAAACTTAAACATAAAAACAAATAATATTTCTAATCTCAAAAAATAAGAAGAATAAATTTTAAATAAAAAATTATTAATATTAAAAATAAAGTCTCTCTTTCAATTGTTGTTTTAGGACTCAAACAGTCTCTATGCCGTCCGTATAGATGCTGCCATTGAAGTTCCTTAAAAAGTTCCAAAATGGGGTGAGAAAAGTTGTTACTAATTAGCATGGGCATACGATTTAGAACTTTTTTTTTTATCTTTAGTCGGGTTTATATGATGGTAACCTATGTCGTTTTTGTCGGGTTTAGATTTTTCCAATGCAACCGCTATGTATTCTAGTCATTTCCTATGTATTATGGGCAATTATGTGCGTGTCTTAATGTATGTGTTTTAAATAAGAGTAATACTAAATGGATTTAAAAATTAGACTTGATAATTTCAACCATTGAATATGTAGTGGGTCCCAATAAATATTGGGATCTACAGTAAAATCAATGATTGAGATTATCAAGTTTAATTTTTAAGTCTACTTTTTAAGTTTACGTAGTATTGTTCTTTAAATAATAGGCAGCATAACACTTTGTCAAGTTAATGTAGGTGTTGAATAGAAGAGCCAAAACACATGGGAGACAAGACAATGTTTAATCTAGAAAGGGACCACTTTCTTTCCTCTTTTTTGGGAGCCTGAACCATACGTGGCTTGTATGGTTTGGACTTTGAAGGTTTACATCCAGATGTTTCTACCATAATGATACGAAAAATTTCAGGACTGCTTGGACTTGGGCTCGTTGGTCTTCTTACGCTCGTACAACTGTAATATGATATTGAACAAAGTAGGTTCAAACTAAGCATGTATCTCCTTGTATGTTCATAAAAAAAAAAACTTTATATACCCCTTGGGATTGCGAAGGGAACATGCATGTAAGACTCAAAATGGTGATGATGAGAAAAAGAAGGGAAGGTTCTAAAATTCAAAAAGGCACGAGATGGCACTGTTACGTGCACACTTTTAAGAATTTAGAAAGTAAATGAAAAATAGAATTAGAGAAAAAAACTCACTTCCAGGGGGGGTAAAAATCTCCAATAGCTCAATTTGAGAAGAATCAAATCTCCAAAACTTTCATAAGAAAGATCAATACAATATTCAACCTATTCATTTCATTGATAGAAAGATATTTAAATACAAGATAATAAAATTACCTTAATAACTAATTTGACCAATAATTTCACTATCTTAGCAACCACCTAAAAAACTACCCATAAAATACTCTACCACTAACCCATTTACTAAAATAATTCCCTAATAACTACCTCAAATACTACATAAAAATATATTAAAAATGTGTACATAACATTCCATTTTCCTTTAAAAGAATTTTGTCCTCAAAATTTGATTTATCATAAAATTGAGACCAACCAACCAGCTTTCTTGAATCAAGCAGTGCTACATTATGCCCTTGAGTGCTCGGTCAAATTCATAGCTCTCCTGAAGGTTCAACTTCATCTTATTTTGCCATAAAAGGACTTCATAATCTGCATCTAAAGCAGAGCCTAAAGTGACACAAAATTCTAAGACATGAACAATCCATTGATTGAGCTGTTGAATCAAAGTAAGAATGTTTTTTTCAAGACACAAGAAGGTTGCTATTGATTCTGCAACCATATAGAGGGGAGAACTAAGAAAGGAAATCGTAAGGATGAAAAAGATTTGGAGGAGAAAAACCAAAAAGATAGACAAAGAAAAAGGAAAAGAGAGACGTTGCAAGAAAAGGAGGCGGCCAACCGACTTCTTTATCCTTATAAAAATAAACTATGTCAATAATCTCACCACCAAACATGTGGACTGCAGCATCTAACTTCATGGTGCCCCAACTTTTATTTTCACTTGCTCCAATATTGACATTAACTTTGCTTGATGCCTCCTCAACGATTTCTGAATTTTTCTCATCAATAATGTACTTTTCTTCATGACCAACTGGTTGACAATATTGTCCAGAACTTAAATTCCCTTCTTGAAGTATGTTTCTAAGTTTGTTTATCCCTTCTAGCATTCGTTGGTTTTCTTCGATCAATCTCTCAAAACGCTTTTTGAAAATCATCACGCATCAACTTTAAAATCTTTGATCATGTAGCCATTAACAGGATCGTTGGCTCTGATACCGATTGTTACGTGCACACTTTGAAGAATTTAGAAAATAAACGAAAAATAGAATTGGAGAAGAAAACCCACTTCAAGTGGGGCGAAAACCTCCAATGGTTCAATTCGAGAATAACCGAATCTCCAAAACTTTCACAAGAAAATCAATACAATATTCAACCTATTCATTTCATTAATAAGAAGATCTTTAAATACAAAATAATAAAACTACCTTAATAACTAATTTAACCAATGATTCCATTATCTTAGTAACCACCTAAAAAATTACCCACAAAATACTCTACCACTAACCGATTTACTAAAATAACTCCATAATAACTACCTCAAATACTACATAAAAATATATTAAAAATGTGTACATAACAGGCACCTTCAGTTCTACGAGCCAAAATGGACTCTTTGTGACGATGCTTGCCATTAAATATGGGTCCACCCCAAAAAACAGTTCACCCTTACCTGCTTTTGCTTCATGTCCTTGAGACGGGATCCAAATCTTCTCTCACTAAACTTCTTCCCAAATTTCTTTCTATTATAGATCACACGTGTAATTGGTAGATACCCCCTTATATACATAGTGGATTCCACTTAAATTCATGGCACATGATCTATTATTGAAAGAAATAGAAGAAATGCATGCTAGAGAGGATGACACAACCAACTTTTCCCCATTGTCAATTTTGGGTCTAATATCCTGCAAAAAAATACATAATCTCATACCCCAACAGTTTTCCCCTATTTAGATTATTTTTCCTTCGGAATAAACTATTCCCTATTCAACAATGGGCTTCAAAAACTTAACATTTCCTTGCCAAGTAACAAGTAGTTCCACAACTAAAGGGCCATGAACTTTTTTCAGTGATAAAAAAATGAGAAGACTACATGGCTAAATCTTACAGGCCTACACATACAGGCAAGAGGGAGAGATGAAGAAAGCTATAGCGATAAAACATCCGTGCAAGAGGGATAAACCGAAAAAGCTAGAATGCTCACCTTAGATGCTTCACTTTGCCGCCACCATATTACAGACGCTCCACCTTTCTTATAATCCTATCCTACATGACCAGATGCACAACATCAATAAAAAGTTGTTAGCAGTGAAAGAACGACCGAACTGAAAAACCTAATAACGCGCAACTGCAATAATCACATTGTGGAAGTTATTTTCAGAACAATTGAGATAGCAAACCTCCAGATTTAGGCACACATCGATTTGCTAGGATTTATGTAGCAAAATATCCTACAACTGTGTGAGTGCACTTAGCACTAAAGGTTCATCATCTGGACATTAGCTCAAGTATGGCCGAAGTTGAGTAAACTTTGGGATCTTAACATCCAACTTTGCTGCAAAACTACCCAACCGCATTTTGCAGATAAGCCCAACCATCCTGAAATCAAACAAAAAAACGTCATTATATTTAGCCAAAATTGAAAAACGACAAACAAAATGAAAATAGAAAAGCAAGAACAAAAGACAAATCCAACCACTCCGCATTGCATAACTTGAAGTCATTAAATTTGCAAAGCTAAAAAGGAAATGGTTCAACTATCCAGATTACCACCATGTGGATAGAAGTAATTTACAAAAACAAAAAAGAAGGAACATCTTCAACATTAATTGATGCAACACACAAACATCGTTTATAGTTTTAACAATATTCAGATCAGAATACACTGAATAACAAAATCTTAGCTCTCAAACATGGACTAAAAACTAATACCGAGCCACAAAAATAAAATCGTCATCACCCAAAACCTCAACATCTTTCTCGCCTACAAAATTCTCCCGTCCAAGTTGTTTCACTAAATTAACAAACTCCACCCTCTTGACCAGAGGAAGTGGCACATATGGGAGTCGGAAAACAGGCCTCACAACCCCAAGCTGGGCAAGAGCTGTGTTTAAGCCAATTGGGTTTGGCTCATGAAAAAGCCAGTCAATCAGAGGCATAAGCTTTGAATTCAAGGACGGATTCTTTCCCCTGAATATCAGTTCTCGCATTAAACCTGGAACCAAGTTGCTGGTAACAGATATAACTCCAGTAGCACCATAATCCCACCTTGAATCATGACACTGATCATCATTCCCGCTCCACACAACAATCCCCTTGTCTGTATACTGTGCTACTCGATCATTTCCGACACATTCCTTAACACCTGCCAAGTTGGCACTCTGCGCCAGAGTATGAATGACACGTGGCTGGATATCTTGGCCAGTTCGTGATGGTACATTATAAATGATGGTAGGGCCCATAGGGAGCACACTGCCAAAATGAGAAACCAAGCCCTCCATGGATGTTTTCCCATAGTAAGGATTGATGTGAAGGGCTGCATGCATTCCCACTGCAAAACCCTGTTCAGTGGCATGTACTGCTTCTCTTGTGGAGTTACTTCCCGTGTTTCCAATGACCTTGATAGATCCACCAAAACAGTTGACTGTGTGACCAATTAGCATGATGTGTTCATCCCAGCTCATCAACTGGCCTTCACCAGTAGTGCCACCGACGATCACTCCCTCAGCTCCATTTTCAATCTGCATGTTCACCAAGGCATCATATGCCTCGAGATCAAATCTCCCATCTGGTAGATACGGGGTTTTGATGGCAGTTATCAATCTAAGAGACTTTATGTCCTCTGTAGAAGTCCTGCATATAGAAGAAAAGCAGAGGTGCTCAAGCTTTCAAAACAGTGTAATTTTAGAACACGCTACAGTTAACCACAGCCATAGCCAAATTTAACAGATTCTATCCCTAAATGAGATAGAAACCTTTTTTTAGATCTATAACTAGTTCAAAAACTCTGTTGATCTCAGTATTTTATCTGGAGTTAATGTGCATCGAGGATTAATAATTTACCCACTCCTAAAAGTAAAATTTAAGTCAAACCAGCCTAATCTGTTTTCTTAAATGTAAACACCAAAATACAAAAGATTCAAAGCGGAAAAAGAGAAAGTAGGGGATGCTAGCTTTACCTGTTTTTAACTTCAAAACTACGCATTGGGAGATGGAAGTTAGGAATTATAGCTGCTTTTGGCAACCTCCATGTTGCATTCCTCCCGCTTACAGCAACATAAGGTGGCATTAGCTTATAAACAGGGAAGAATAAGCGGGCAGTAGCAAGAAGCACAATGTTATTCTGCTTTGCAACTACTAGCATTCAAAGGGCTTTTTAAAGTTCAAAACGGCAGATTTACATGCAGCAAATAAATGATCCCAAATCGAAAATACAAGAAACGAGTGACAGAGAGTGATATAAGCCATGCACAAAAATATCCAACTATACAGGAAAACACATTCAAAATATTACCTTGCACTGACTGACGGCTAAAGCTAAAAAAGAAGCTCCTAAAAATTGGCTGCATTATCAACAACATCTTTTGCGAAGGCATAAACATGCAACATGTACCATAGGAATGATGGTTTCACATCAAAAATATTTCAGTAGCTTAACAAACGGGACTATAATTACTAGACGTATAGCCAGCATTAAGTAGGTTAGTAACAGACATGTGCAAATTTTGTTGACATAATTACAAACCAACAATGTTATAATTTATCTGAAAAAAAAAACGAATTGACATATAGCCGGATGATTGGCATGACTTTAAAAAAAAAATCTGGAAAAAGCCACTACAGGAGATCTCAACTCAATCTATCTATGCCACTACAGGAGATCACAACTCAATCTATCTATGCTTATCATTTTCGTGGTGGATTAAAAAAGAAAATTCAGCTTTACAAACCCGATACATTTGTTGAAAAATCAAATAATTAAAAAGCTAGACAATAATAGAGTAAATACTAAACTGAGACACATGCTAGTCAGGAACCTTTGCAGCCGTCTAGGAATGGGACAGTTGATTGGCAGAAATACTATTTTAATGCCATTAGAAAAAGGGCGAAAGCAGAGGAAGAGGGCGCGTAACCCTCCTCCCCCATCACTGGCATCCATTCTATCTTTGTAGAAGGGCAAATGGGTTACTCCCCAATATTTCCTTCCATTCATACATCTGTTCTTGCAAAGTCATCATTTGAACCATTCCATAACATATGTGTAATTACCCAAAAAAAAAAAATTATTATATTATTTTGGTGCATTGGCTACCTAGGAGTAATTATATATATATATAAGGATAAAAATAATTTAAAAAAAAAAGAGACTAATATATCTCTAATAAAAAGTCTTACCTAGAGACCTATTACGACTCTTATACATGTAGTTTATATAAGGTAGTATTGTTGGATAGGTCAAACCCTTATATATATATAAATATATTTAGGTTGTAGGGTCTTTTGGTGAGAAAGCTTATGGAGGAGGTTGTCCTATGAACAAAGAAGAAAAAAATAACGTGAAAGAGGGAAAGAGAGAGAAAAGAAAGAAGGAGGAAGAAGACAAGTGGATTAAGTCCTTTAAATGTGAGTTTATTATTTATTTTATGGGTTTTATAGTTTATTCAATTACATGATATTAGGTTGATGATAAAGATATTGCGTAATATGTATATATACACATATACAGAATGAGTTTCATGATAATCGTTTATTAGTATTGAAATTTATTAGATTGAATTTAGACTTATTAACTAATCAATAGGTTGAAAAAGAAAAGAAAAGAAAAGAAAAGGGTTTGGAATTGTTGTGGCAGAACAAACAACCTGGATGACTGTAGGTAGAAGAAGACCAATCCAAAAATTATAGAAAGCTCCCCTTTAATTTCAAAGAGTTTTATTTTGACCCCTTTATTCTACTGAACTTAATTTTAAGTACTTTTTTTACTTGGTAAGTTGTAAGAACAAAATTCCAGAAAATTTATGGCAGCTCCGTAAACAGAAAATCGTTTTTAATAAAATTACACTTTGTCCCCAAAAGTTTCAAAAATTATAATTTTACCCCAAAATTTTAAAAAAAAATTCTAAACAGCCCAAAATACTTCCATATCTTATTCCCTCGTATTAGAAATGATGTTTATATGTAAAGGATATATTAAGTATATATCAAAGAGTAGAAAATACGTAAATTAAATATAGAATCACGAAATGACGAAGTTAGAAATAGGAATTGATTGTTACATGTTATTTTAAATTAGGTGGTGATTGCATTGAAGTTGAGAAAGAGTGTTTTGAATTAAATTTTGAAAATCAAGGTGAGTAGTTTATTACNAATCACGAAATGACGAAGTTAGAAATAGGGATTGATTGTTACATGTTATTTTGAATTAGGTGGTGATTGCATTGAAGTTGAGAAAGAGTGTTTTGAATTAAATTTTGAAAATCAAGGTGAGTAGTTTATTACTTCTTTTGGGAGGATTTTCTATATTAAAATTGTGGGTGCGTGGGNAGACCTTTATAAATAAAAGGTTTCGGATTATTATTTTCCATACACCCATTTACAAGCTTGTTATGTAAGAATGAAAGCAACACAAATCGTTTAGTATAAATTCTAGTATACCAATTTTTAAAGAAAAGCAAAGTAATACGACAAAACGAGAAATCAACATCCAACNTTACACGTGAATTCGCAAAACTTATGAGATGATTTGATATTATTGCTTAAATGATTTTGGTGATGAAAGAGATATTTTGTTTGCGATGGGACTAAAATAACAGTTTTAGTGTGTGTGTTGAAATCATGTTTTATAAGAAGGGAATTGGGTTACCAGGTCTAAATGATAACAAGATTGTATACCAGCGTAGTCGGTATAGGGATGAGCACATAGGGGCCAGTTATCAGGCTAGTGATAACAAAAGACGGGGTCAATCATCAGGCTAAGGATGACAAGAGATGGGGCCAGTTATCAGGCTAGTGGTAACAAACATGATTTGACAAGTGTATTTGAGACTGAATGTGTGTGTGAGTGTTTTGAGCTATAAATGTCTTTTCTTTTATAAAGTTATTATGATCATGAGATCATTTTGTTTACATGGTTATGTGAAAGGGATTGGGGTACAATTTATTATATTTATGTATATAACAAAGTTTATTTCTGTGTATATGAAATATGACATTTATTTTCAAACCTCATTAGAGGTGGTTGCTACTCACGAGCCTTTGTGCTCATCCAAATATTTAACATTTTTCAGGTGAGGATCAGGAGGAGCAGTAAGTCCTTGTCAAGGGATTAGAAGAATCAAAAATTTATTTTATTGTAGGTGTTCAGGAATAAATATTTTTTATAGTTTTGAGACAAGTATTCGATTGTTTTGAGAACAATGTTATTTTTGCTTAGAGTAGTGAACCTTATGGATTAATTATTGTTTTACCTGAGTTTAGTAATAATATTGGTGATGTTAGTTTATTTCTCTGGTATTTATTAGGTCGGTGAAAATGATCACTTTATTATTTGTCTTCCACTGTATTTTGCATTAATTATGCACAGAAATGGTTGGTTAAGGCCTTGGTGGCCGGTCCGCCGCCCACCCAATGTGATCCGGGGTGGGGGTGTGACAATATGGATCATGTAAGTTCTCAATCCAACCATAAGGGATAAATAATTGTCTATTTATTTTGCATTTCAACCTTAAAGTCTTCGCCAAGATGGTTTCATTGCACTAAATAAATTTGAGACCTTTATAAATAAAAGGTTTCGGATTATTATTTTCCATACACCCATTTACAAGCTTGTTATGTAAGAATGAAAGCAACACAAATCGTTTAGTATAAATTCTAGTATACCAATTTTTAAAGAAAAGCAAAGTAATACGACAAAACGAGAAATCAACATCCAACAGATTAACAAAATACTAAGTTTTTAAATAAGAAACGAGAGTAACCTCTTGTAGTTATCGAAGCAATTGGGATGAGGAGATCGGAAAGCGTATTCCTTTTGACACGAGCTGAAGCTCTTGAACGCCGACAATTCCTGAATCGCAACCGCCATTTCCACCGTTCAAAAAATATTATATGGGTTCGAATATGTAAGATTTGTTTGAGGATTATCTGGATAATGTTGAAATTTCAGCAAATTGTAATGGTACTGATTGGAATAATGGTGGGAATAGTCGTGAATGTGGTGGTGGTGGTGATGGTGATGGTGGTACGGAGGAGGTAGGCGGAGAAATGGGCAGCGACGTGGACCATGGTAGAAGATTCCGGCGACGAGGTTGCGGCGAGAAGTGTTAGATGTGAGGACGAGGAAGGCGGTGAAAAGTGTGTGATATGAGTGTTCCTGAGTTTGATTGCTAGGGTTTTAGATTGTGAGGCTGTGGCACTCCGGTGTATGCTTTGCGTGTACTACACTAGTCAAGTTTTGACAAATGTCCTTCGTATTTACTTATTTTTATTTTTTCTGGTCAAACACACAGGAAGAAATATTATTTTAACCTAATTAAATATAACAATTGAGTTAAAAGTAACTTTTATACAACATTGAAATTTATAACTACCCCAATGACTATATTGAATCAGATTTGTAATTAGATCTTCAAATTACGTCCGTATAATATTGCTTAGAGAATGGGGAGCGGCGTTATCACTAGGAGTGTTAGAATATGATGTGATTCGTTAATACGACACAAAATTATAAGATTTTGGTCTTATTTAAGTCATTCATTTAAAAAATGAGTGAATTTAATTCGACACAATTAATAAATAAATCGAGTATGAGTGAAGTCAATCAAAAGAAATATAAGACATAATTCGCCTATGTATCATTTATATATGATTGATATACGACAAAAACTGATGACACGATTTTTCAGACATAAATTAATAAATAAATCGAGTATAGGTAAAATATTTTTTAACACGAACCCATAAAAAGTTGAAAAGAACTCATTTCACCCGACATGATGGACAGACATAGTCATCACTTTGACGGACCCTCATTTTNCGAACCCGTAAAAAGTTGAAAAGAGCTCATTTCACCCGACATGATTGACAGACATAGTCATCACTTTGACGGACCCTTATTGTCGCAACCACCATTAAGGTAATTCGGATTAAAAATTTTCTAAGTCTATTTTAAAAAAGAATATTGAATTATTCAATATGCATAATTTATTTCTAATTATGTGAATGCATAATTTGCATTATAACCTTGGAGCAAAAAACCAAATTGTTGAAACACTTTCTTTATTCCAACATAAAATTGTGTATATAATAAAACTCACGACATAAAAATAAAAGAGCAATGCTATTGGAATATAATTTATGAATATAATGAGTTGTCACCAATAAAATGGTAGTGAATTCATTTAATGCTACAATGTGACTCATCATTAAATATATTTCATTATCATTTTATTAGTGACAATTCATTATGTCCCTAAATTATGGCTTAATAGCATTAGTGAAAATAAAAATAGCACAGAGACATTTTGTGTGAATTTTATATAAATATAATTAGTGAAAATTGGGGCTGACTCCTTTTAAATGAACTTATAATAATATAAGTTTATCAAAAAAACTTATTTAAGGATAAATTCATTTCTAAACTTATTAGTAAGGAGTTAAATCTATTTTTTTTTCATTTAAAAAATATTCTTAACAGTGTTAATTTAGTCAATTATGGAAAGTTCAAAGACATTATCTATAGGGAGTTATATATGGAGGTCAATGATTGAATATATGAATACTTAATTTATGATGATAATTGTCAATTACAAGCTTTTCATAATATTTTAAATTTAAATTTTTAATTATTATTTTGTTTGTTATACTTTTAAATAATCGATTTTCAAAATTTGAGATTAATTTAAAAAAGATAAAGGTTGAAGTTGAAATACGAATTTAAAAATTTAATCACCCATAAATATAATAGGTAACAAAAATCTCGTTAAGAAAAATAGAACAAACCGACAGCATCGGCATTTTTCTGATATGCGTCAGCTCCCAGCCAAGATAGCCGCCTGCCTTCTGTTTCTCTTTGTTTTCCCAGCCGCCACTCACAATGGAAAGAAAAAAAAGCCCAGCCGCCTCCTCTAAAGCAAAAATATATAGGTTGAAAGTCAATCCTCTTTTGAAAAAATATATTTTCCTCCCCTCTTTTCTTCGGCCTTTTTACTTCAACTCCTCTTAATTCCAACACTTTTACTTTAATCCCTAAAGTCCAAATCTTTTGTAATTTGAG